CATTATAAATATATAAGTGTATCTGCATTTTAATTATTAGTAATTTGTTAAGAGTAAATACTTTATAAAAAAAGTTTCAGCATGAAACACTGAAAATAAAATAATTGATCTTTCTTTTAAAGCAGTCTTAAAAAACAAAGTTCATTAGTGGTATTGAGTTGCAAAAGTAGTTAATTTTGTGCAGATTTTCCCAGATGCATAAAAGGCCCTTACTGACTACACCATACAGTGGTCCGAGTAATGGTGAAAAGATAAATATAATCCAATTATAGATTTCCTTCGACTCTTTTATTATCAGATAATACTATCTCTTGTTTGATAGCTTCAAGGCATCTTTTCAAATAACTTTTATTTTGGTAGAGACTTTTATGAGATAGCAAGCTATGATGTTTGCTTTAAAGAAAGCATTTCCAGTTTTCAATGTCCCCAGATTTATGGCTTATAGAAGGAAATTATAATTCATTACTGTTTTGAGTTGTGTTTGTTGTGAGTTGAGTTGTGTCCCCCGAAAAAAATATCTTGAAGTCCTAACCTCCAGTACTTGTGAATGTCCCCTTATTTGGAAATAGGGTCTTTGCAGATATAATCCCATTAAAATGAAGTTATACTAGATTAGGATGAGCTCTAAATCCAGTGACTGGTGTCATGGCCATGTGAAGACACAGGGACACAAACACAGTGGGGGAATGCAAGGTGATGATGGAGGCAGAGATTGTAGTGGTGTGCCTATAAACCAAGGAGCACCAAGGATTGCCAGCAACCACCAGAAGCTAGAGGGAGGCAAGGAAGGACCCTTCCCTAGAAATTTTAAAGGGAGCATGGCCCTGCTGACATCTTGATTTCTTCTAGTCTCCAGAACTATGAGAAAATAGATTAATATTGTTTTAAGCCACCCAGTTTATAGTATTAATAATTTGTTACAGCAGTCCTAGGAAACCAATAGTGCTCATATTCTACTTGTTCAAAAAGTCTTTGAACTAGAGTAAGAGTTATTCTCAAAGTGTAAGCTTTGCTTTTTTGGCCATCATCTTCATAAAACCTGAGAGAAGTAAGAAAATAAACAAGAATACTTTATATAAGCTATGCTCAATTAAAAAATCTAATGCACTGTGTGTATAACTTTGGTAATGATTAAGAGATCAGATTATTTTTTAATTTGGGAACAATGGTATTACATCATCACTACTGGTATTTTGGAACTTAAAATTAACATAGAATGTAAAAGCCAGTATTGTAATGAGTACGATTAACACATATTCCTTCCAGAATTCCAGTTTTGTCTAGGAGGTCCAGGTACATGACTCATTTCCTATGCCTTCAGGGAAGATATGGCTTTTTTACTCTGATTTTCTGCTCCCCTTTTATTTCTGATAAGTGGAGAATTTTTCTTATTTTTTATTGAACTCAGCTATGCATTTAAAAAGATATTTATTATGTTACTCTTTGCATAAACTTAACTTTCCACCTGCTCTATGCCTGCACTCAACCAGCAGAATAAGGGCTGAATAAAACAGGCAGCCGTGATGATTGATCTAATTACTGTTCTGTTTCTCTGCTCTCCTTTGTAGCAGAACTTCTGAAAATAGTTGAGGCTCACTTCTCTATGTTCACCTGACAGTTGCTCCACAACACACTCCAGTTAGGCTTTTATTTCTATTTGTCCATTGAACTTGTTGCCAATCTCTTGATCAGTTCTTGGTTCTCGCCCTTACTCACTTCATAGTAGTTTTTGACACAATTGATCATGCCTTCTTTTCTGAAATGCTTTCTTCACTTGTCTCTATAACCCATACATGCCTGTTTTTTCTCTACTTCACTGGCTCCTTTTTTCTGTTTCCTTTGCTGGCTCT